GTTCAAGTCTCCTTGCAGAATCTGCCCAGAATTCGGCGGAGTTCGGCTTGATGGGGACATTTCGCTGGTACCCATCGATCACTGCCGATGCCCCCTGTAAAGACCTGTAAATTCTTGGATAACTATAGAGATGTGATTCAGTAGGAACCAGCAAAAGAAGCTGGTGAAAGTGCAAAATGTTTCCCCCTCTATGCCAAACAGCGCTCAGCATTCCCTTTCAGAGCGAGTTTGTTTTTATTTCTCTCCGAATTCCTCCGAAATTGATCTGGGAATTTGTTAGGTATTACTCTTCCCTGCTGTGCTTCGCCCACTAACTACCCTTCAATTATAACTAATGGCTTTCGGAGCCGTGTCGGCTCGGCTCACTAAATAAAACCACTCGTAAACCCTCAACGTTGTTGCTCTGCTCTGTTCTCGTCGCCACTAATGTCACCGTTTGTGTCGTTTTCTCGATAATTCTGCGTTGGCCTTTATAAGACCCTATTGTTGAAATGAGCACTTTCAGACGATTATTCTTCGCACGTAGTATGTATCGGAGACAATAGAGCAGATTGAAAACTATGGAAATCTATGAAGACATCGAGTTTTGTGACCCAAATCAGGTAAGTATACCGTTTCTGTGGACAGTATACTCTAAACATGCCCCCCCTTTATCTCCGTTGCATTTCACAAGAATGTAAAGAGCAGACAACCCATTTCGTGGTTAAATTGTGACAAAAAGATCTTTCGCGCTGTGGGTGAGGTGTTCCCAGACGTGTTTGAGCTGGGGAAAGGAGAGGACGGGATGCTAAGCTTGCTGAGAGGGGTTTGTATTGATGCGAAAGCTCAGGGAATTCCCCCTGTTCCTCCCTACAATCGGTCAGAGAGCTTTCTCATCGCCCAGTGGGATACCGTGGTTCACGTGGGAAATCGTTCCCAGATCAGGAACACCGTTTTATAAGTTTTTCAAATATGGCCAGCTGAACTCCCGTGGAGGGGGAATGACCAGGAGCTGCACCTTACTAACATTCTAAGGAAAAACGCCAGTCTATACCATAGCTGAAAAGATCTTGACCTCAAGAACCCCTCCAACCCTCCACTGTCGAGGAGCCCGCATGGGTGCTTTTGCTCGGAGGTCGGGTGCTGTTTCTCAACGAGAGCGCTCTTTTTGCCCATCCTAATTTAACGTGAACGAGTTGTCAATTATGAGTGCGAGGGAGGAACTGGGCTGAAACTGCGTCACTTTTTTGACGCGTATTATGCGGGTTTTCAAGTGGGAGCGAAACAACGCTGAGAATCACGATAATCTTGCCCAATCTGCGGACTGACGTGGGAGGTCGGGACGTTCGCCTTTGGAAGGTGGCACGGGGAGTCCACAGCGAGGCTTGTAAAGCACTTTGTCAAAGCCTGTAGATTCGTTTGTCAATCGTTCGTGTGTGTCAAAAGTGATACTTCAACAATTTCGCAACACCAGAGTAATTTACAAGTTTGATGAATGTAAGACCTCCCGCAAAATGCTCCCTCCAAGTCGAACTGCCCTGAATACTGTACTAGACAGGCGGGTTCTACTATCTTCAGAATACATATTAACCAAGTTGTTACTTTGGAGATGGAATCAGTGTAAATGCAAGTGGTTCCTCCAGACCAATGGTAAAAACCCGGATCGGTTCTGTCCCTACGGGTTCAATCAAGGCTACCAGGCCTATAGTTAAGAAGGAAATCTCTGATTTCTACGTGTGTCGGCTGGTCCTCCGAGTTCATGGTGGCCTTCCCTTAGCTACCTTATATGGATCAATATTTGCGCTTTTTTGGTTTTTTATTTCAAATTGATTAATTCAGTTTTCCCAGCGCGAATCTCCCTATTTCATTATCATTACAGATCTACGGCGAGGCGTTACCGGTATGCGAAGATCCGTTCACCGTATTCGATCACTATATGAACATCTGTGTACCGGCAACCCTGATTCAATTTGTCGATCAGGTACGGTAATCGCTCCCTCGCTCACTTTTCATGAAATGGAGCGGTCAGGTATGGAGGGGGCACCAAATGGTACCCCTCCATACCTGACCTGAAGCTTCAACAGGTCACATTGTGAAGACCTGTAAGTTCCTGTAAGCTTATCCAGGTTACCTTGTCAAAACGTGTGCATACCTGTGTCACTTGTACCATTTCTCATGTTTACAAGGGTTCACAGGTCTTCCCAATGTGAGACTGCTAGTTAACGTAAACTAACAAAGGAGTTAACAACTCCCCCCCCCCCTAAACCGAACAGCTCCTGAAATAGCTGCGTGTTCAGGAGAATGAGCCAAACATGAAAATTATCTATGGATTTCTCCTGCCAATTCTGTCCGTGATCGTGCTGTTGTCCAACGGTGTCGTCATATTGGTGCTGAACGAACAGAAAACGGTGAGTACTGTACTGTACTGTGTTATGCAATGTTTTTTGCGTAATTTTTGCGTGTAGCACCTTCCCACACAATTCCCACAATTCCCACACCCACAGTAATAATCAAATCGAATTTGTTGGATAAAATTGATGTGGAAAACAAAAAAGACGAACATCTACAGCGTATTTTTCATGCTAGTACGATTCTTTGTCAGGGGGGGTGGGCTTGGCTTGTGCTTCACTGCGCCCCCCCCCCCCTTCTTTTCCCTCTCCCTGCCTGACATGAAGCTTTACTGGCAAGAAGGAAATATAAGTCCAAAACCGAGGAGTTTGGGGCCGGAAATCGGAAAGTGGAAGTTCAAACGGTAACGTCCAATGCGGAGAGTTCCCGGTTCACTTATCAAAATCTCAGAATCTTGCGCCAAAGCGGAAAAATCACTCACCAACTTCCGCTGGCGATGTTCCTTCGATTTCCGGTTTCCGCCTCTCGCTTTCTAGCCAACCATGGGTTTCTACCACTTTCTTCACCATTTTCGAAGTTCTGAGCGCTCTTGGCTTGCTTCCAATAAATCTTTTACCTGCCTCTGTCTATTCCGTTTTCCGGTGAAACGGTAAAAGTCTCCACGAGAGTACGAGTTTCATTAGCTTCTGTTCGACGTTCGCTTCTCGTCTCAGCTTTGACAGCCCCGCCCACTGGGGACAGTTCCGCCCAAACAACGGAAAACAGGTAGAAACAACGCGAATCGCCCGGCTTCTTTTGTAGAAATAAGGGGACAGGCTACGGTTCGCGCACCTACAGTTTACCCGGAGGTCGGGAATCGTAAGGGTTTCTCATGCTTCATTTATCAGTAGTTTAACCAAGCAGTCGTTTGCCAGAAGAGCGCCACCGAAGAATGCACCATGCACCGGTATTGCTAGAGAGGGTTACTCTAGTAAAATCCATAACAGATCAATAAATCAATAAAGTGCTCCATTTCAGAAACGCGCTACGGTTGAGCCGTTGTTCTGGATGGCTGTGAGTGCATTGCTGATGGCTGCATCTCCCCTACCCTTCACCATCTACTACTACAACCTCGGTCATATGCGAGATCTCAACCAAACTGAGTTTCTTTGCTATCTTCAGAAGGTAATTCGAACTAATCATTTTTACACTGAAATCATTTATGGTTGTGGAAAAGCGATTTTTGTAGGAAGGATTATTGAGAAGTTATTTTTGGCCAATTTCAGGTGTGCATGGAAATTTTGCCATTCTTTTTCAACACTCTCATCACATTCTTCACTCTATTGCTCGGAACTCAACGGTAAGTGAGTTCGGTCCTGCCCAGCTACCTACCGTAGCCCACGACCCGGCCAGGAAACCTTGATAAAAAGCTAAAAAAACAACGGGAGGGGTAAGGGTTAATGTATGAGATTAGTTATATAGAGTGCCCAAGAAGAGGCAAAAACCAGCAGCCAGGAAGGCAAAATAGACCCCTTCGGGTCGCGAAGTGACTGAAACTCATTTTTCTCTCCTTTCCCCCTCCTATCGAGTTCCGGTTTCCGGTCATTTTCTAGAATCTGAAGGATCCCATAGACGCATTGATCTCATTCCTCCTCCTTCCTCTTTGGACCATTCCCGGAACCTGAAATCTCACCGTACCGATACCGTATAAGTCCTAAATGCTAAGCCTACGTACACTTTTTCCTCCGCATTTCTCCAAAATCCCTCTTATCATTACACCCGCAAAGAAGCTTTTCGGCTCAGCCTCCCTAGTTCCTAAAGGCGATTGCTGTACGGGGGATGAGATGAGGTCGTAAGCTCTCTGATAAGTGGTGCCACTAGAAGTGATTCTTTTCGGACGGGAAAAAAGAAAATAAGGGATTGGCTACGGACAAGGAACATGAGGATGTCTGCCCCGAGAGTGGTGATGGGGTCCCTTTCGGGCCAATATATGACACTCAAATGGTTATTCACATAAATATAACCCAGGTGGAATTGGCAAGAGTGAGCAGCGTAGAACTTCCTAGAATTTACGACCGTGGTAGTCATTTTGTCCGATCGGGAGGGGAGGCTATGGGGTTCGTCATTCTAGTCCACCTACTCCTCTGCTTGAACCTTACTGTCCCGTTTTCCTCGACATTCTCATCTAATGTCCGCAATTGCAGATTCATCGCCGTACAGTATCCATTGGATTCGCTACGATGGTGCTCACGTCGTTTGATACGTCGATATTCCAAGGCTATTCTAACCCTCGCCATTGTTCTCACTGTCATTCATTCCACGTTCGACATTCGGGTCATCTATCATTTTTGTATTCGGGTATGTTTATAATTTTTCGAAATGACTTTCAGAGGGTTTTTTCCGCTTATGACCTCATATTTCGGAGGGTGGGCTTACCAGTTACCATCCATACTTGAAAAGTTGGGTTGTGAAGAGTGGAAAACTTTCCTCCCTTTTTCCCTGCCTGACTTTCGAATAAGTTTGAATTGGAGGGGCTAATTATGGTGAAAAAGGGGATTCAGTAACAGAGAAGGCACACTCTGTCAAAGCTACGGAATTGCAAATCTTACTTAGGACAGGCAGAAACTATCCTAACTTTTCTGCGGTTCAGTTTGGCTTACTGTAGCACTTTCACGTAAAATCAGGTATATGTTGGTGCGAATGCCGCGCACGCGACACCACTTGTGCGCCACTTTTCACGCCTGCCGTAACTCCCAGTCCACATAGCGCGTTCGTGATTCTTGCAAGCAGGATAGCCCTATTAGGGAGGGAAGTTCGCTATGCCGCAGCGTAACACATTTAACCATTCAATCCTTACCCGACTTTGAATGAGAAACGGTAGCACGGCGCATCCAAAGAGTGCGAATTTCTCGCTTTTCTCACAAATACTTGACTCGTGTGAAGGTGCTTATCGTTTCGTTCTTTTCAGGGACCATCGACATCGTTCTGGGTGGCTCGCTGCTTTGTCGGTCATTCGCCGTTGACGCGAGCGATGGGTCCAGACACATTCTCATGGGTACGGTATACAGTTGTCCCGAGTTGTCCATACATATCGCTGTAGGACCCATCTATCGAGCAAATTGCAGGTTTTCGACAGCTTCCGAATAGGACTGATCGTTGTGCCGTCGATTCTTCTGTTCGCCATCACGATTCTTCTCATACGGACAATTAAGACTTCGGATGCACCTAAGCTGAGGTTCGCGTTAATTTATTTTATATTTTTCACAATTTTTCAAGTATTTGTTCCAATTTCAGTGTCAATCGTCACAAGCGGATCAGTTCAGCGTTCAGGAACACCACTGTGATGCTCACTGTCATTATAGTACTCTTCCTGCTCGCCAGGTACGGTGCGCTTCATATTTCTTAGTACTTCTATCGTAATTTAACCTGTTACTGAAAATGGTGGTAATTTAACCTGTTACTGAAAATGGTGAGCCTGTGGTGAGCGGCAGGAAAAGCTGCTTCTTCAAAAGCTAAAGGCGCCGTGTTGGAGGTTATAAGTATTTTGGCCCAATTCAAAATTCGTATTCCACGATGGGCACAGTGGGCGGAGACTCATGACCATTGTGTGCCATAGGCATTGGCGTGCCACTCTCTTTGTCGGATCAAGAGGAGGGGCGCGTCAACGTGCTTTCAAAAGTATTGGCATCGCACTGTGACTCTAAGCAGACACACAGAACTACATGCCATGAGACAGACCTCGCCTCCTTCCCAAGGCATTCCGCTTTTGGTTGAAGCAGGGCATCCTGAAAGCTCCAGGGGCGGTGGCCAGCTTTTTGTCAGTCTCCAAGGGAATGGTTTGACGATCGATTCGTATAATTTGTCTTGCACCAAGTCCGAGTTGAGATTGAGACGATAGCTCGATTTTATGAGATCAAATATTAGAAGAAAACATTCATATTTTTTGCGCGTTTAGTTTTTACAGTTTCATTAATAGGAGGCATTGAAAGGCATGCTTCGTGGAAGCCAGATGGGAGGAGAATGATAGCACTTTTGCCATTGGCACTCCTTCCCCCCCCCCTCCCAACATCCCAAAGAGACGATGCATCGTGTGAAGACAGCGCACCGTTATGTCCCCTTGTGTTGGGAGGATTCGATCTGGTTTTAGTCAGGCGATTGCGCCGAGCCCCAAATTTGTCCAGGAACGCGTATAACTTTCTTTATTTCAGGGTTCCATCGACAGTGCTGATCATTCTAGTGAAGCTATCCGATCTATTGCCACTGGGGTCGTTGGAATTCGCTCATTCCGCGTATCTTCGGGCGTTTGCCAACATCATTCTTGTCACTCTTCATCCAATCTCTTTCGCCGTTTACATGTTTATGTCGAGGTCAGCATTATTTTATTATTTATTTCATATTATTAAAATGAATTTTGGCAATTGGGTATGCTCCTTGTCATTCTGGCGTCGTCCGGTCCATAATTGACGGCGATTCTTGGCAAAACTTCACAGCAGTGGTCAGCGATTGGCCGAGGCGATCGGTTGTCAATTCATTGTGGAAGGGATTGAGTGGATGTGGGCGCGAAGAGCCTTCTCGCAGCCTTTTACCACTGACGCTGGCAACAACCGCCCGCCTTCCGCAATCGTGCCCACTGCTTTAGGCCATCTAGCGACTGCTGCTGAGACATCTAGCGATTTCCGTTCCGTCCGTTCCGTACTGACTGTCTTCCGCATTTGTTTTGGTTGATTGGTGCAAAGGGAAAGTTAGACGGTTGTGTGGTGCTACGAGGTCTAGTTGGCCCGAGCCATTCTATAGGCTTAGCAAGAGTGAAAGCGTGTATGTATTCCATCTTATTCGAGTGGGCGGAGACCCATGACCGTTGTGCCTCCCTTTCTTTAGCCACTTCCCGCTCAGCCCTTCCACCAAAGACGTTGGCAGTAACCCGTCGCCCTCAGACATCGTGCCCACTATCTCTAAAAATGGAACCTCTGGCGTTCAGTGCTTGCTCTCAAGCGAGCTCCGCAAATGGGGTCCTAGACAGTTCGCACCAGACCCGGACCGGTTGTACGTCACATCCAATAAGAATTTTTTTTCCTTTTAGGCGTTTCCGTGTCTCATTACGACGCCTTCTTGGTTGGCGTTTTCTTGCTACGGATGAAGAATTCAACGCCGTCACTTCGTCGTTCCAAAACTCGCAGTTCAAATCGAATCCACAATCGCGTACGAGCTGTGCTCTATCGCTGGCCAACTATAGCAACGGTTAGTTCCTTATTTATTTGTCCTGCCCGTGCTAACGACTTCCAAACATTCGAACAAGAAAGTGATGAGTATTGATCAGTAGCGCGTAAAATCGATAACCAATCTGTGGTATACATGATAAGAATCTGGCTGAAGCGGGTGGGAACAGTCCTAATGAATGAAAATCTTTCTGCAGTGAAATAAAGAAAGATTTTCATGTAGTACTGTTGAGGATGGGAATTGTAGGGCATTTTCGCTAGGGTAGAAGAGAAGAGAAAAGACATGCGAAGATGCGAAAAGATTTTTTTCGCCTGCGCTCTATCGCCGAGATAGTGATCATCCTACCTCCGAAAGCGAATAAGGTGGCGTTCAGATTTCGCCACAAAGGCGTTTCATTCGCGCGACTGCGACCGGACCACTGCAAAATTCGGATTCAGTTCTATCCTGACTGTGATCCAATTGGCAGCCGGTTCAACGGTTAGCGATGGGGCGCGACCAGTGGGAGGCGTGCGATTTTCGAATTGCACGACTGAATGGCCTGAGTCGCGAAGTATGAACGCAGTAGCGCTAGAGCGAGCCCGCTACGTTCTAATGCAGTGCGCTTTGCAGAATTCTGCAGAGCGATACGTGTATTTCGCGATAATACCTGGGTGAATGTGACCGACTTTGATAATGATAGCAGACGCTTCATAATTCGTGGCTCAGCGGCTTTTCTCAGAGAACTGACCAAGCAAACAGCTTATGCGCTGAGGTCATGTACATCGGAAGATTGGATGGATGTGGATTACGTAGCTTGGCGTCGTTAATCTTGTTTGCAGCGACTTTGTGCTTGCAGCTCCCTTCTGTGGGAGGTTCCAAGCTCCTTGCCGATTCCCCCTCCCCGGCATCCCGGTTGCAAACGTTAACAAGGGCGCTCGGCCTAATTTTCTGAGAGCTACTTTCGGATTTCGATTTCCAAACGCAATTATCCGTTTGCGCGGTTTCGCTTCGCTTAGGTTATAGGGTTATATCGACAGCGCAGCAGTCCAACTGATCTGGGAAAGAAACTTCCTTCTGCCCCAAATCGTCGCGGAAGCAGCCCGTGACAAGAGTCATCACGGAATCGTCCACGGCGGAGAGTGGTGGACAGTCGTGCCGTCAGTGTCGCGCCGTCATGTGGCCCCCTCAACTACAGAATAGCCTTGAAGTTGACCCCAAATTTACTTTTCTGCTCTTTCCTCGGAGTAGTTCGCTTGGTGGGGGCAACGAATGGTACTCAGCTAGGTTTGTGCAAGCCACCTTGTGGAAACCTGTCAACTCCTGTTACGAAGGTGGCTCACGCGCAACATTTCGCAGCATCACATGAGTTCACAGATCTCACCTAGGTGGGACTTGCTACTTAACATGAACGATAGTGGAAGGGCGAAAGCCCCCTCTTAGCCGAACAGCAACGGTTCCTTTTAACTTTCATGGTCTTCTGCTTGCAGAATTTCTTTGGATAGAATTTTAGAGGAGTCTTATTTTCAGAAAAAAATTTGAAAGACTGTTCAAAGCAGCAAAAGTCAAAGATATTCTATGGTTTTCAGGTCGCCCCACGATACCACGCTACCCACGGCCGATCAACAAAAAAGGAGTGGTGTTTGCCCCGTCGACGTGTTCAATCTCTTCGGGTGGACGAGCCACCAATAAAAGTCTTTCAGAATGGTCAACAAAGAGTAGCTTGTCGTCGCGATTCGCCATTTTGCGACGATTTCGTTTTATAAAACGTTGTGATACGGTGTGATGACGTCATCATCGACAGTTTTTTCTTTAAAATTGTTGTATCTCAGGTCCCACTCATTTCTCGCGTTTCTTTGACATTTGAATTGATTCTATTTATATGTTGGATCAAATCCATATTCTGCGCTTTCCCGATGGGCAGAGCCGGACCTTCCACATTACCTCTTATTGAATCGCCCCTCTTTGGCGCAATCGCACTCCGGCTCCGCCCATACGACGAACGCGGAATGTGCATCTGAATGACTGACTTTACGTGTATTACTTTGTTGTAAATCTTTTCGTCATCGGGTGATATCCCGTCGTGGTTAGGCGCAAATATATCAGAGTAATGTTATAGGTAGCCCCTCTTCTCTTTCTACGAATTTTACAAGATTTATTAAATTTTTCTTGAGGCTATCAAGTTTTATTTCCTTCTTCCTTTCTCAGTGTGCAACGCTGTTTCCACAGTTCTAGATGGGCTATCCAGACTGTGCAAGCAGCCAAATTGGAAAGAGTTTTCACTAAGAGGAAATATTGTAATATTGTATCGAATCACAAATTACGGCTATCTGATGTTCAATTTCCCATTGTGCATATCAAACTGATTTCGATGTTTTCCCGAATAAAAATAAAATAACGTCAGGCTAAGTGTTGTTTAGTGAAGAAATTAGCCCTAGTTTCCCACTCGCCATGCCGACCGACCCCTTCATTCAGAGCAACCCGCGTTGCTGCAAGTTCCGTGCAAGTTAGGTGCAAGTTACGTGCAAATTACGTGCAAGTTACATGCAAGTCCACATACATGCAGGACTCGAAAGCGGCTTACACGAAATTAATTGCAATGTATACATACAAGGTACGTGCAAGTCACCTGCACGATACGGTAAGTTTGTACAAGCTGGGTGCAAGTTACGTTTAACTCACATAGAGGCTTCATGGAATTCGTAGCCAAGTTGCAATCACGTTACGCGCAAGCTACATGGGAGTTACACATGCAGGTTTCAATACAAAATACGTGCAGGTTACGTGCAACTTGCATGTAAATACACGAAAGCAAGGCTGAAAGCAACCCTTACGCAATTTGTATGAAAGCGACACAGGCTACGAGAGGTGCAACTTAAATGCAAGTTACATGTCCGATTAATGAACCCTTATCCAGGTTACAAAGAAAACTCACATCAAAGTGATGCGATAGAGTTCCACTCCAACGTACAAGGCAGGTGCAAGTTAACAGCAAGTTCCGTGAAACTGCATGCGTGCTGCAAGAACCATGAAAGGCAGCTCCAGTCAGCTGAAATGAGGATGCTGAGATGGGCCTGTGGCTTTACACGACTCGATAGGGTCAGAAGTCAAGACATCATGGCGTCACAAAGACGGCTCCGATCCAACTGAAGGCACGAGAGCAGCAAATGCGATGGTACGGGCGCGTACTGAGGAGCCTGAAGACACCCAGTAAGGAAGGTCGTCCGTTTGTTTGTTTGCTTGCTTGCTTGCTTGCAAGTTTGTAAGCTTGTTTGTTTGTAGGTTTGTTTGTCTGTCCGGAATTTCGGTTCGACCTGAAGAACGACTTGAGAAAAGGTCGGTCAAGTGGGATCGGCGAATGAACAAGAAAATAAAAATTTGTCTTGACCTATGCAAAGCCCCGCCCTAGCAGCGTGAGGCACTAGCTGAAATTTTGGCGGTCGTAGAGAAATGTTCATAATTCGCTGTCCGGAGCAGCCGCTTATGAGAGAAAATTTCAGTAAGTATTAGCAAGCAGTGCAGGGACTCTGCGGGAAAACATCCAAAATGGGCGGGGCGTACTCAAGGTGGGCGGTGCTTCTCATAAAACTCAGTAACTCGGTTCGCGAGAGTGTTTAGAAGTCGCAAAAAGCTCAGTGCAGAATGTAAATATCTGGCGAATATTGGGCACGCTCAAAGTGTGTTGAGACCCGCCCACAGTGGGCGGAGCTTGCCCTAAATCGCAGGGTATTCATTTTAAAAAATTTGTAGCTCGGTTGCAAGAACACTACAGAAGCACGGAAAAAAAAAAAAAGCGAGGATTCTAGTCAGCGAGAGCAGCGATTGGGATTGCGGGGCACAAGCATAGTGGCGAGCGACACTGCTCGAGGTGGGCCCAGAGTTAGACGAAAATCTGTAAAATAGTTCCAGAGCACTCCAGGGACCGGAAAAAAAGTGGATTAAGGTCAGCAAAGGGTCGCCGATTGAGAAATGTGGGGCACACATGTTGCTAGCGGATTAGGGCAGCACAGGGTTTCCAGTAAGGATTTTGAGTGGCACATACATCGCGGGCGGCGGCTGCTCGAGGCTGGCGGAGCCCAGACAAATTCTGTAAGACGTACTTAGAGGCACTTCTGAAGACCGGACAAATTGATGTTTGGTGCCCATTGAGAAATGTGGGGCATAAATGTTGTGGACGGGGCCAGCCCGAGGTGGGCGGAGCCAGACAAAAAATCTGCAAAACGGTTTCAGAGCGGTCCAGACACCGTCAACATGTAAGCAGAGATGTGCAGGACCTCAACTGTTGGATATATGGCAAGAGTTGAGTGTGTCTGTGTTTTTGACAGCGTCCCACTGGCGCTGTCGGCACGACGTACTCATTCTTTGTTGAGTTTGTAGAGCGTTATTTCTGCAACTCTTTAACACGCGTCGTCACGAGGCATTAGATTTCCAGTCGGGCTCAGGCGGCGATTGCAGCGCTCCTCTCCCTTTGATACGGCCCAAGTGGCCGGACGGCACGGCATCGATGTTCCTTTAAATGCACACCACAGAATAGTGATCAGGGAAACTTTCTCCGAAACGCAACTGGATTCAAGCCCGTGAAAGGAATCAGCTTTTTTAGCGGATAGTTTGTCGCTGCAGCAAGCCTCTTGCAGTGCCCAGATTTGTTCAGATGTCCGCCTACTGAGAACTCAGATTGAACGGGATTGGGAGTCCATGCAGGGTGTGCCCACACACGAATTGTTTCATAAAACCAGTCTTCGCGAATGTCATTGGAATTCGGAACGCTTTTTGTTCAGATATACTGTAAGCGCACTGGTTGTTTTTTTTCGTTCAGTGTTTTGCAAGAAGAGGACAACCTGAAGCTTCTTCCTCCTTTGGTTTGCATAACTTTGCTGTTCATTTTGCCTCATTTTCATTATTATTCATGCGTCTACTTCCTTATTTCCTTTGTACGTTACTGCTTCCAGTTTACTCCTGCTCAGTATTCATTTCAGCTTTGATTGGCAATGAAAGGAAACCAGGCCATCGCATTCATCGTCCTCGATCGACTTTCTTGGAAACTTGGGATGATCTTTACCCCCTTTTATTCTGCTTACTTCCCGCTTTTCCGCCTCCTTTAGATCCTGAAAATGTGGGAAACATTCCGTACCGATTCATCAAGGAACCTGCACAGTCCTGGAGGTAATGCTACCTAGATTTGTAAACCACCGGGATAGGTGGCGATCAACTTGACAGTGCGTCAAGGGTTACCTTGATCCCCTCTACCCTTACCATTGGCCTTCCCGATGCTTTGAATAGAGATGCTCCTTTCCCTTACTGCTGATGGTTCACGTCTGAACGTCTTCAGAATTGGAGAGTCCGATGGTTCTCACCAATCTTTTGTACCTGAGTGAAGACCTCTCTGCTTCACCAAAACTTGCTGTTGGTGGTATTTCGGCATCGTGGAGGGATCGTCAGGAGCGTTGACAGGCTGATGAATGCAGGTTCCTTCTCCTCCGTTCTCATTGCTTCACGTCCCTCACATTCACCGGGAGTTAGCCGTGAGATCGCTCATCATCTGTGGAAACTTGCAATACAACTTCTTTTCACATACTCCAGATGTTCAAAAACTGCTAGCCAAGCCAGTCTGGAAAGTAATTGTTCTACACTTGGAGCTCACTTGACCCTTTGATGAATAATTAGCCAAAATTCAATGCCAGTTATAGGAAGGGGATGTGTACTAATAAACAAGCCAGTGTTGCTACATTTCCACAAGCCGTGTACTTTGCACTGATGAGCAGCACAATAGACACAATGTCATTTATTTCTGTTGACGAGGAATGATTGCAATCATATTTGTCTCGCGACAGTGGCCGTACGCTCCGAATCACATGCAGGGAAGTCCAATACCAGGCACAGATGCGAAGTAATGCCAGGTCCAAGTTCAAGATATCCACAACCAGAACAAATCCAAAAGGTTTGGTGATCGATCGAACGTCCGCACGTCTTAAAGGACGTACCGATGCAAATACTGAACAACTGGAGCCGTAACAGAAACACTGTGGTAATTTATCGAAGTCTTTCAGCGCTTAACTGTTTTTGGAAATAATGATTGTGTGACTATGAGAGAGGTTCGCGCTGAAGTCGCTATGAGCCGTCGAAAGATTCGTAGGTAGTGAAGTTGAGAAAAGCAGAAGTGTGTGTCTGTTGACTTGTGGACTGAGGAAAAGCAAAGGAAAACATCGAAGACGCCCTGAACAAGACCCTCCTGGTTTCAAACGAGAGGCAGAGAAAGGATAGCCAATCCTAGCGAGAGAACAGGTAAGAGTAGCTCGAGCACAAGCAAGCTAGCAAAATAAGAAGCGCAACAGCTAAGGATCTCGGGCGGAGTCGCATGACCAACCTTCTTCCGTAACGCGTCCTCCCCCACATTACTTCTTTCGATTTTGCACAAGGATGTCCGCTTCACTTCAAACCATTCCCCCCTCCCCTACCCCGAAAGATCCAGGATCTTGCATGTGATCGTGGGGCATGGAACCACGCGAGGACGGTCATGGGTGCCTAAGGAAGGAAATGTGGGGCATTGCAGAGTACAGATCAACAGGATATTTTCTACCTTATTGAGTCGACATATCCCATTACTCCCACTTTGTATTAAAGAGGTCCTGGTGCGAATTCCGCGCGATTGGATCGCGCGATCACGAAGTATGAACGCGTTCACATGCAGCCTTTGTCGTGACTAGAGAAATAAAATGACTAAAGTAGTGCAATTGTAACCGCTCACGACCCACGAAAGACTCACATAATTTTGCTGTGCTGTTCTGG